ATGCTATGCCGTTATTTTCCACATTTTCAAAGTTAAAAACAACAATTTTTTACGATTTGTGATAGTCTCTGCCTGAGAAATGCCCAAAATCATAAACTTTGAAGGCTGATTTCTCAAATATTGTTCTTTAAACAGCTGTATGTTTAAACACTTGTAACTTCTTAAACAAATGTCGGATTTGATACTTTTATTATGTTATACCGTACTCGTTTTACTGTTGAACACTGTATTATTCACTAAAAATCAGTTTTTGCGACGAGTGACTGGTTTGGCTTGTCTTTGCTACAAGTACGGTACACAGTGGTCAAAGTTATTATATTGACAAGGGTTCATAATTTCCATTAATTACAACCAACAGGGCACGTGACATAAATGGTTTTAACGCTGTGTTGTAAGGAATAGTCTAGTAGGAACGGGGGTTCCCATGCACTCCCAGGATATATTTTTTTAACTAACATTTTTGTAATCCTCAAAGTATCTGATGAACGAATTTTGATGTTCCCATCGAAAAGATTGTCCTATGGGGTAGTTTGGCGCCATTTTGGCGGCCATCTTGAATTTTGAATAAAAATCAATTATTTGCATAATTTATTAACTGAAAATCATATAAAATCACATTAACCTCTAAATGTGTATAGTAAGCAGTGTTTAAGTTCTTAATACAAAACATTGACCTCGCATTTACATTTGACGGCCATATTGGATTTTGAATGAAAATCAATTATTTGCATAATTTATTAACTAAAAATCATATAAAATCAAATGAATCTCTAAATTTATATAGTAAGCAGTATTTATGTTCTCAATACAAAAAAATTGACTTCTCAATACATTTTGCGGCCATATTGGCGGCCACATTGGATTGTCAATGAAAATCATTAATTTGTATAATTTATTAACTAAAAACCATATAAAATCAAATGAACTTCTAAATATATAGGCCTATGGTATAAACAGTGTTTATTTTCTCAATACAAAACATTTACTTCGTAATATACATTGCCCAACCATTTTGGCAGCTACCGGATATTGGCGGCCACATTCGCGGCCATATTGTCATTTAAATAAACATTGATTCCGTATAAATTTTCACCTATATTATACAAACAAAGAAATGTTGTCATTGAGAATTGATTGAGATCCATGACCTATCAACAGGTTTGATACACTGAAACTACAAAAATATGAGAATTCACTTTATTCACACTCAAACTATAATACCTATTAGGTATAGGCCTAATGTATGGTATGAAAAATATTTTTAAAATAATTTTAGTCCAACCACGGTACAAGCTAAAAATTAATGGTCAAACTCAATGACCATGATTCAAGCTCGCTGTTCACAAGTGCTATCCACACCAATGAACACCAGTCAGATGCAATGTTTCACAATAAATCTACTGTACATTTATTATTGTACTACACATGCTGTTACATCCAATGAATAATTTTTGTGATGCTTTACAAAGAAAATCCCTTATAAAATCATGTAATTCTTTAAATGACTATAATTAATGGAGGACCCACTAAACACATACTTTATTATTACTACCGCCAAGGAGGTTATGCATTCACTGTTGTTTGTCTGCCTTTTAACAAGATCACACTATACGGATCATCATAAAATTTACCATAGTGGTACATAATAATCTAAGAAAAATCACAAGGCT